AAACCTGTCTGGAGACGTGACTCCCATCCCAAACTTGCCAGAAACATCACCAAGTACAAAAGACAAATTGATGAGCCTTCTGGAAAGGGACCACCAGAGGAAGGAGCATCTCTGTGGTGCTCCACAGTAAAAGAAAACTCTTTAGGATTAAAAATAGGAGGCTTTTTGCTGTGTTTGTTCATTATTATAAAAATCTTCCTTTCCTTGGCAGGCACAGAGCAAATATTGAGATGGAGGAAAACACTGCCCAGTGTTCAGCAGGATCTGATCACTGCATCTCAGTGTTTTGGTGCCCACCTTGAGCGGACACACAGCCTCCTCCCCTGTTCGGCTGTGTGTGATGGTGGCAGAGGGGAGGTGGTGCCTGCTCAGGAAGCACAGCACTGTAGCGCCAAGCTGTCCAGCTGAGGGACCCAAAAGCTGTTGGTAGCGAGGCATGGGTAGCACAGCTATCATCCAAGGGAGCCCTATTTCCATCAGCTCAAACTGGTGCCAGCAGATGATAGGGATGACAGCTATGACTTGCTCCATCCTTGGATAGGTCTCTCTTCCCTCTGCCTGTTGCTCTCCTCCTGTTTTTCTCACTGACACATATGTGGTATTCTTGGAGCTGCATTCCAACCAGAGGAAAGCCACCTGAGCCAGGGATTAGGAAGGGTGGCAGGGAAGTTTGAAGCCTGCCCCTATTCAGGATTTTGGAGCCTGTCACTGCCACCTCGTTATATTTAGCTGTAGTTGAAGGAGGATCATTGGCAAATGAGAAAACTGCTTTCTTTAATTTGCTCTAACCCTCATTCTCAGGATCGGCAGTCAAAATTCACCTGCTCCCCCAGACATGGTCTCACTGACCAGAGAAGCTAAGCTGATTGTCATAAATAGTTTGGCTCACCCCTTTCCACCAGGCTGCCCTGCTCCTCGCATTCCTGCATCAGGCCAGTCAGCCCTTAAGCTGTCTAGCTTGTTTTACTAAGCCCTCCAGGGCTGGGGTTGAAAGCTTAGACCCACCTTCTACAAAGCTATTTCCTCCCCCATGAAGGCAGTCAACTGCACACCCCAACAGCACTAAAAATACCCATCCTCAAGCTGTGCTCAGATGAAATCTTTGACAGCCTGTTACAAACAACTAATCCGAAACTGCCTAATAATTTGATATTTCAGGCTGAAGATTATCTCCTATGCGTGGGAAGTAGTTTCTCTCTTCATGTCTCCATGCATGCTGTTAATCACTGTGTTCAGGATAATTATAACTCCAGGATTCCCACACCTCACTTGGTCCATCTCAGATTTTGGCCTCCAGTCTCACCGGGGTTTATGGTCCCACAGGAGCCAATGGCCCTCACTCACCCTGGGAACTGCCCTGAGATTAAATGAGTCACCCCATGAGGGCTTTGTACCTCTTCAAGGACTACCCAGAGCTGTACAACTGATGCCTGACTCTCAGAGAGCTGACATTATGTGAGATAGATACAATTCTAAACCCAATTTCTTCTCTCTCCTCCCAAGAACTCTCCTCACCTTTCTCAATACTTCCATCTGGAAGAGAACAGGCACTTGAAGACGTCAAGACCACAAATGGGTATTTCAGACTGAAAGACTGTCCTGACACACCCTGGGCTCCACACTTCATTTCCAGATACATCTCTCTGTTGATAACTCAGCACAGGCTGGTCAGACTTAATTGCTCAATCCTTTCTTTTTCTTTAATCACTTTGTCTTGACAACCACAATTTTCTCTGAAGTCTTTTACTTACTGTGGTAACAGCTTCAAAAACCATTCTATCTGGAGAAGTAAGAGACAAAAGCCCAGAACATAATGATTCCCTGATGTGTCACTACTCTCTCATAGCACACTGCCTACAGCCAAACAGCCTCTGAACCAACAGCCATTTCCTCCTGTCATGTGTCAGTCTCCACATACAGCAACAGCAAAAGGGGAAAAAAGAAACGTAAAAATAAATTACAATTTAAAACTACAAGGATTGGCCAGAGCCTGGCAGGGAAGGGCAGGACCTGGCCAGCAGCGTGGTCACTGGCAGCATTGAGCATGCATTCTTGTGAATGATAGTGTATGAGTTGCTGATGGCAAAGGTCTTTTCAGCTGTATGTCATAAACGGATACCAGAAATCTGGACCGATCTGGCTGGATCCTTCAGTGTTTTTCTGTTTCTTCTTGGAAAAGCATGTCTAACAAAACATCATGCTGTCTGTTCAGTTAGTTAATTCTGACTCTCATTGCCCTCATGACCCTGCAAGCGTCCCCTCAGATGCTAGAAATGCCTTTTTGCTGCCATGATGTGAGCCTGGTGCCTGCAAAACAACCCGGGTCACCTTCTGACAGACATTGAGAAAATTCTTGGATGCTCTTGCAACCCTTTCCTACAGCCCTGGGAACACTTCCTACAGCCCATGCCCAGGAGTTCAGCTGCTGCCACTGACAGGGTGCACAGAATACCACCCAGTAGATGGAGGGAGCCCCACCTTTCCACTCAGATCTGCTTCACAGGGCTTAAAAACCTCATCAACTTTTATGTGATTCAGGTCTATTTTATTGCAAGGAAGCGCTGCAGCAGAAGAGCCAGCTCACACACTTCTGCTGAGATGAGCTTCTTCCCTAGTGCCATGCGGACAAAACCATCACACAGTTTCAATACCAAAGTTTTGTCAAAGTTGTAGTAAGTCCTCAAGGTTTGCTGTGTACTGTCTTTAACCCCTGCCCTCTCAGGTGGTCTTCAGTAGCTGTAATGCCAGATCCTGCCTGCTGGATTGCCAGAAGGAGGGGGAAATGCACTGCAGCTGCTGTGGTGTGGACAGGTCATTTATACCGTTTGGTTGAGAAGATGCTGAGCAGTGAAACACTGAAATAGGGCTGCTAGCAAAACAGTTGGGGAATTTCTGCCCGTTCTTCCTTCCATCTCCATAGGGCAGACTTGTTCCTCCCTCACTGGGTCTAAACTGCAGGTCGGGGGCAGGCACCAGAGAGCGTAACAACTTCACCTCCTGGATACACAGCTATTTCCAGGACAATCTGTGGACAGCATCCCCAAAACATTTGCTAGAGTTTCAGCTTGGATCACCAGAACTCTTACGAGTTTGGAGAGGACCCAGGTTGGTGCCTGGCTGCTTACTGATAGCACAGTCTTTGCTCTGAGTGTCTCTCTGAGAAATGCATAAGCAGCCCCCCAGTCAGGCCAGGGCAAAGGATGCTCAGTGCATCAGGAGTGAAGAGGCACCCAGAGCAGGTAGGCAAAAACTTAAAGACAAACGGGAATACACATTATTCCTCTCTCATCACGTGGAAAACAAAATCATTCTCTTGGGCCACTCAGATAGGTTTTGTTATGTGTTATAAATAGCATACCTTCAAAGAGATGTGACTATCCAACACTGGCTGCCCCATGCAGCTAGGCATTTGTCTGCTTTTCGTGTCTTTTATTACACACATCAGGATATCGCCCAGGCCCTGAATGCATGTTGCTATTTGAATTTTGGTGTGCAGTAACTACAAGTGGAGTTTTAACACACTTAGCATTGCACCAACCCTGACGTAAACAACAAAACCACCTACCTGTGGTTACAAGGAGCTGAGCCAGATCATAGGCAGAAAGGCAAGAACTCCAAGTACCTCATTAAAACTGAACATGTCCAAATTTTTTTGGCCTACTGCCTGGGCAGCAGCATTATCCAAGGTGCCTCAGCATGTCTGCTTTCAATTGCAGAGCTTTCACAGTAACGTTTCTCTCCTTCATCTCCTCCTGTACACCAAACACAGTGACAGCACTCAAGAGAGATAATGTTGCACTCTAGGCTAGAGGAATACTGTGGAGGTGCTGGGAAGAAATCTCTGGTCATTAGCCCATGGGCCTCTGCCAGCTGATGTGGTTTTGGAATAGCACCAATGTTGGTGTGACCATGAATGCCAGTTGCTCTTTAGCTCAGTCATTGTGTGTGTTTGGAGACAGAAATAAAAGATTAACTCTTGGAAAGGTGCTATTTTCCAAATGCCACTCAAATAAATGGCAAAGTACATAAATATGGCTGGTGACAATTAGTGGTGTAAGGTGTTAAGAATGTTGGAGAAAATATATATTCAGACTTAGAAGGTCTGCCTTTTTCTGTATGATTACTATCTACCTGACTGCCTTTATAGTAACAGCATGTAAGGGACTATCTCAAATTCAGTACGTGCTTTATACCTTGGCAGGGAGCAACCTGGACATTTCCCGTGATTCATCTTCAAAACAAAGAAATATAATTGGCATCTCTCTGAAACTGTACATAGTCGCTAAAATGTGCAAACTGCTCCAGGCTGACTCCTCCCTAGCTCTGCAGAAGCGACTGCTTGAGTTGAACGGGTCAAATATGAATAATAACAGTGTTGTCAGGATTTGAGACTAACAGGCAGCCTGTCAGGACTTTAAATAGAGAATTTAACAGCAGAGCACCTGGGTAGTTTGGGTAATATGGCTTTCATGAAGACTGCTTTCATTAGCTGATTTCTAGGCAACAGCAGTAGAAAAGGGTTGTAAGTAGCTCTAAGAAAGGAAACTTCAAGGAGTCAAAAGCCTATGATGTGATACGAAGCAGACTGAGGGGTGTTGGATGTGAATTACTTATTTCTGCCTTATCAACTAGGCACCTTTGGCATTTATTAAATTTCCTTTCCCTGTGTATAACACTTGTGCACAAAATTTGTCAAGAGAACTAATAAAGGTTTCAGTATGTTACAACTGAGACACTGAGCACTGCTGGAAATCCAATAAGCGCTGTTAAGGATTTGAATAACACAGGTACATGAAACTGTGATTAAAAATAATTGAAAGAAATGATTTATTCAGTTCTATTAAATTTAGATTGTTCCTAGGAGTATCAGGGCATATGCTCCTCATCATGCAACTTCGGCTTTCCCTGAATTTCAGTTTTACCAGCTCTGGATTGGTTTAAGAGGCTCGCAAAACCCCATATCTCGCTTAGCAAATAAACAGATTGGACCCTAAAGCACCTTTTCTTTCTTTTCTTTTATCTAGTAGTGCTATTTACCTATATTAATAATTACCATACGAATTATATTAGTAACCATATTAGTAAAATACACCAAAATTCCTGAAACAGACCATTTTTAATAGATTTTATTTATCACAAATGTGTGCATTTCTCATCCATTGTTCATCCTTGATTTTTGCTACATGTTGTAAAGGGAGAAAGAAAGCTCATGGCGCTTTCAATAGGAAGTTTTCTTTTACAATTGGAAACTACCATCCCCATTACATAGTTGCGTCATAAGAATGTTTTCGCTACAGTGAGCACTATATTTCATATTCATTTTCTGACAAAAGCAAAACGGATCCATTTGTCTTCTGCAGGGCCCTTCTTAGCTTAAATTATGCTTTTTGCAAAGCTTATTTGTTACTTTGTAGTCCCAGCAGCATCAATTAAAAGTTTCTTTGTAAAATGTATCATCTGGACTACACATATATATTGGGTAGTTTGGGCTATAATTTTCCTCCAAAACAAACTTTTCTTGAAATAAAAGTCGATTTGCTGGAAGATGATGGGGAAGCAGGCATCAGGGTCTGCAGCTGAAGGGTTAGCCACTGACTGTCTCACTAGTTCATGGTACCACAACCCGAGCTCTCAGGTTGGTGTCGTGGTTTAAACCCAGTCAGGTAACTCGTTCACTCACTCCCCCCCCTTCTTTCCCTCCCCCTACTCCCGGAGGGATGGAGAGGAGAATCGAAAAGAATGCAACTCCCACAGGTTGAGATAAGAACAGTTTAGTAACTAAGGTATAACACAGATCACTACTGCTACCACCAATGATAATAATGATAAAGGAAATAACAAGGGAAGAGAATACAACACCTCACCACCAGCTGACCGATAACTCGCCCCCCAAGCCTGACCAAGCTCCGACCGATACCTCCTCCAACCCTGCAGTCTCCCAGCCCTTCCAGCTCATTCCCAGTTACATCCTGGGCATGACGTGCTGTGGTATGGAATACCTCTTTGGTCAGTTTGGGTCAGGTGTCCTGTCTCTGCTTCCTCCTGGCTTCCCCTCCTCCCTGGCAGAGCATGAGGCTCACAAAGTCCTTGGCCAAACCAAAACATCATTGTTATCAGCTCTGTTCCCGAGCTGAAAGTCAAAACACTGCACTGCACCAGCTACCAAGAAGGAGAAAAATGACTGCTACTGCTGAACCCAGGACAGTTGGGTATCCTGCCCTGGAGTGTCATACACACTGGTGCCTGTGGGTGAATTGGCAGCAGGGCAAGCTGACCAGGAGAGTCAAGGTGTGTGAGGGATTGGTGGGAATGGGAAAAAATTGTCTGCTCCATATAATGATGTAATGAAGGACAGATATATTGCTTTCAGTCTTCTTATAGTAACATTTTTAAGAGTTTCTGGTTCTGAAACTCTTAGTTCACTGTCATTTCACAATGAAATTAATTCTTTTTCTTTTGTTTTCACAAAAGTTGTGGTTTCCTCCAAGTTTTGCGTTTCAGCTGTATCCTGCAGAGGCCACTGTGTTATGATGATGGGAGTGGGGTTGTGATGAAGGTGGCTTTCCTCTCCCCCAGGCTTGTAGGACCTGTGGCCAGTGACCCTTTCACAGGAGGCAATGAGGAGGCTGCCTGCCAGATAACTTCATGGTTTAGTCTGAGTGATGCAGGAGAGTTTAGCTAATGATGAACTTGCAGAGCTCTGTTGGTGCAAGAAGAACCTTCTGTTCAATACCAAATGCTGGCATTGGATTTTATATTTGCATGTACATGGGTACTTGCAAATAGACTTTCTCATTAAGATCCTGGTCTGAAGAGCTGCCTCCAGTGCCAACATATGGGCAGTAACCTCCAGTGAGGAGGGAGGAGCCTTCATCGCCCTGTTTGCAGGGCCACTGCAGCCCCTTTCCACTCTCCTGCATATACAGATCTATTTACAGTATAAGGAAACTGGATGGGAATTAGTTTTTAAGGGAGAGTTTGGGTTGAAAATACGTCTGTCCCCACTGTGGTCTGCTCCTTCAGAATTAAACACAAGGAATTATTTTGCCTTGTTTATGAATGGAGATCATGTGCTCAGGGGAGTGAAGGAAGTTACTGATACAGAACAGGAATGGCAGGATTTTAACTCAATTCATGATACTCATCTAGCAAATGTCATTCTTCCCCTATACGCATTGCATATTTATTTTCATATTGTTCAAACTTTGGATTAAATAATCTCATTATTTTGACTCCCCGTCGATAAGCTGATAAAAAACAGGTTTTTAAGAATTCCAGTTTACAAACCCTTGTCATATCTGAAGATTAAACTTGCCACGTTTCATGATAAATGGAAATGCAAATAATTAAGTCTATTAAAATATTTATCAGAGGCTTGCCCTGAGCCAAGCACAGCGTGAACATCTTTATGTTTGCTGGCAATAAACCAGCTTCTCTCTTCTCTCTGTTTTGCACAGTCCTACTAAGCCAATCCTCACTAGAATGAGCACAAAACAAAATGAATAACAGCTTTTGTACATCAACATTAAAATGGGAAGAAGCTTGGGAAAGGGCCTCCGACAGAGAAGAACGCTGATGAGTGCAAAAATGCCTGATGGGTGAGCGCCACCTTCTAAATATAGATCAGCCAGACGTGGAAGTGATTTTCAGAAGAGAAATGCAATCATGGATTACACACCAGCTCATTAGAAACTGTTGCTGAATACAGCATCCAGAAGACATGCATGAAAAGTCACATTTGGGGAATAAATTAAAAGGGGTGTAGTTGTTGCTAGATAAACATATGTAATATATATGCATTGAAGAGGTTTGTAAATGTCATTTTTTTATTCAGATGGAAAGCAAAAAGCTTTAAAACCTTTCACAGTAGAGAGGCAGTTAACTCCAGACTATTCCTATCCCAGTAGCCAAGAAGCAGATAGGACATCTCTCTTAAATTAGCATTTATAAATAAACTTTCTGAATGTTTCCATCACATAGAGTGAAAATCATAACTTTTACTGCTGCATTGCTGCACTTCATCTACTTCACTGTATAATAAGTTGACTAAAACTGTAAAGCTTCTCAATTTTTGCTGCATATGTGTTCCAATTAATCTATGTCTGTAACAAACTTGAGACTGAAAAATAATTTCTGACCTATATTCTAGTTCTGTGAAGCATATATACTATAAGGTATGTCTGAATATCATGATACTATAATTTCCCAAAACACATAGAATTGTTTGTATTTGAAGTGACAAAATAAAAGCACTGATTTCTTTTTCTAACAGGAGAAAGTAATTTACCCCTTAAATGTAACATGCAGCTGCTCACTGCAACGGCATTTCTATTCTTTTCCTTGTCCTGCCATGTAACCACTGAGTGACATTCTCTGGCCCATGCTAATGCCAATCAGATGAAGTGATCCAATGGTCCCTTTTGGCCTTAATCTCAATACATGAATTAAAAGACTGGCACATGGGGCTCTGTGGGTCACTCCACAAAGGGCACCGTCATTGCCAGAAGCCACTGAGCAGTTAAACAAGGGAGGCACAGGGTATCAAGAAAGACCCCAGGGAAAGGACTGGATGACAAGTGTCAGGCACAGAGCAGTGGAGGGCAACAGGAGCACCCTTTCCTCTGCTCTTCTCTGAAAGGTCTCAGCATGGCATGCCTCCTCCTGGTGCAGGACCAGGTAGGAATATGCTGCTCCCTGCATTTTTCCCCTCTTCTTCTGTATATCAAAGCTGAATACAGCCCAAAATGAACACTCCATTGCTAAAAAATCTTTAGATTGCTTAAGCCTGTTCCTTCATTCTTTCCCTTTTGGGGGAAATGGCTAAAATAATAATTCATTGCTAATGTTGATCCCAAATAACACAATACACTGAGGGCATGAGTAAAAAAAACTGGGTTTTAACTACTGGCTGCACAGTAGAGATTATTGCAGGATTTAGTGTATGAATCTCAGAAAAATTATATTATTTTTGAATGAGAAATTACCTTTAAGTGAACTTAAGTCAATAAACACAGGGGATTAGAGAACTCTTCCATCTGACTACCAAGGTACCAGTATGGCGCTCCTTGTCTTGGAGACTGAACACTGATGTGGATGTCTGCCAAGTAAATTTATGTTTGAATCTGGCAGCATTATTGGGGTTTTTAAGTTGTTTTAATCCAAATCTGCTCTTGTAACAGCGCGTAGGAGACTCTTCTCCTGACTCCTGCAGGACCAGCATTAGAGCTAGTCAAAAACCCCATCAAATCAATCAACCACCATAAACATATTCCCAGTACCTGCTGCTGACCTGAAGGGGATGTAGATTAAAATGGAGTAGTTTACACCTCAGGCTGTATAAACTCATTAAGGTCCCACTTCTGACAAGTTTTTAAATCTGTGATTAGACCAACCAATGCCAGCTGGAAAACACACATCCTTAAGGGCGGGTGCATCCAGGAGTCCCTGTTCAATGGCATCTCAGTAAAGCCCATCCTCATTCAACTGCTCTTGTTGGCTCATAGCCGCACTCTCACGTCCAAAGCCAAATTCCGAAGGGTTTACTATTTGGATTTGCTAGTGTGCTACTGTCTTCATTTGCTCCTTAGACTTACCTCTATCCCACGTTATTGCAGTCATGGCACTTTTGCTGTGACAGAATCACTGAAACAGGGTTTCTCTGTATTATGTTAATTTGCTATGGACTACTAAGTTTTACCAAGTTTTGCATCATGGTGACTGTTTAATGTAAAATCCCTTTCTAAATATACACAAATATTGCAAAAAAGGTGTCATCACAAGAACTCGCAACCCTGCCAGGGCAGAGTGGAGAATATGTACCATCTGTACACAGTCAGAAGAGACATACCAGGATGTCCATCACTAATTGTTGACTCAGTATGAATAGTATGTTTTATGGTTTTAAATGTTCCCCCTTTCACATCCCAATCCATTGTAACTTGTCAATTGTATTTTTTTTTAAGTCAACAAACTGTAAAGAAAACTGTTGAAATACCTAATTTTCTGTAAAAAGTAATAACAATAATTTTTGTTACTTTAAAGTATGCTTGGTATTAAAGTACCTAATAAAGTTCAACAATGAATTTTGTAGCATACTAAAATAAAGCGTGATAGTGCTTTTCTCCAGCTCACCTGTGGGAACGGCTGCTGTTGTTGGGATTACTGTCCTCCCCCAGACACAAGCCTAGCTGCCTCCTGCACACCTGCACCTACACAGATCCCTAGGATATGTAAAGACCATGTAAAATCTGATCCCTTACTGAGTGCAGAGATTTCTATGTGTGAATCATATTCACAGTATAAGAATCTTGGTAATGCCTGACTATGCATTTATGGACAACAATATAAAGTTCCTGATTACTTTGGTATAAAACTTAGTTTATAGCTAGAGACAGAAGAATGTAAATTATTTATGAGTTAGTTATAGTTAAATTGAGAACTGCCAGGTTTGTAGGACTGTGAAGTCCTGTTCATTTTTACAGGCAACACATCTCAGTTATTCCTAAATTGATTGGAAATCTCAAACAAGTGATTTGGAGGACACAGTAAAGTTCAGAAAGTGATTCCTCCTGATTTCACTGCATGGAGAAGAGAAGGCTGCGTGGAGACCTCATAGCAGCCTTCCAGTATCTGAAGGGGAGCTATAGGGATGCTGGGGATGGACTCTTCATTAGGGACTGTAGTGACAGGACAAGGGGTAATGGGTTCAAACTGAAAAAAGGAAAGTTTAGATTGGATATAAGGAGGAAGTTCTTTCCTGTTAGGGTGGTGAGGCACTGGAATGGGTTGCCCAGGGAGGTTATGAATGCTCCATCCCTGGCAGTGTTCAAGGCCAGGCTGGCCAGAGCCTTGGGTGACATGGTTTGGTGTGAGGTGTCCCTGCCCATGGCAGGGGGGTTGGAACTAGATGATCTTAAGGTCCTTTCCAACCCTAACTATTCTATGATTCTGTGAAGTTACACTGGAGCCATCAGGGTCTCTCACCTACATCATCCCAGAGCTTGCACCAAAAGGTAAGTACTTTCTTGTCAAACTGGATTTGCTTCCATGATGCTGGCACAATGGTATCTGCATCTGGAGATGATCTAGAAATGATTGTGACTGGGGTCTAATTATTCCCAAACTCGCACACTCTGCCATCTATCAACCGGAATATGAGATCAGCTGCCCTCACACCATCCAGCTTCCCCTGTTCTGGATAGGAAAATGTAATGCTGGGCCCAGCAGCTTTCTGCCCATCTTCACTGTGCTATTCCGAAGTCCTTCAAACATTTACAAGTTCCAATAGTTCCAGATGATTCTCTGAGGATTTGAAATGGAGTAAGAACTAGAAAAAAATAAACTAAAAAAATCAAACCAAAACAGATTTGTCCTGACTGGTTTATACATTGAAAAGCCAGCCATATGCTAGGTAGCTTCTGAGGCAGTGCCAGAAAGCAACATAGATTCTTTTTCCAGTGTACTGAAGTCTAGAGGTTTACACATTTTTCCTTTCCAAGGAGCTCTGCACAGAAGGGAACAGCTTTGCCTGCTGCTGGAGTAGCTGGTGGTACCTGCACATGAGTCATACTTGCAGCCATTCCACCTTGAACTGTGATTTACATTAATATTTCGAGAAGAGACTTTCAAGGAAGGCCCAAAATTCTCCAGAAAGTAGAATATGTAGTTTAAAAATTCATGCTCTTCCCTTTGTATCAAGCATTAGTCCCATGCTGCTGAATACACAAAGCCAAGGCTTGCTGTGATCAGGTACCGCCTTGACACTTTCTATTACCCATCTGTCTCTCTTAAATTTTTGCTTAGTGTCACTTTATACTGCCTTCTGAAATGCCTCTTGCATTTTAAAAAGTAAACTGATATATCTTCCCCTTCTTCCAGATAGTCCCCTAACACCACTGAGGGCACTTACATAGCTTTTCCACTTCACAAAGTCACACTGTCTGTGCAAGAGACACATTTATGGGGAATAAAGTATAAGCAGCCACATTGCACTCATCAACTCCCAAGAGCAGCTGTGGCCTGTAATTGCCTATGAGACACTAAAAAGCTCCTTTCTTTTTTGGAGCAGTTCCAAAAGTTGCTGCAAAACACTTCCCAAGACTGCTGGTGTGAGACCAGCCTCCAAGTTTGAGCATCAGCTGAGGGAAAGCAGCCTGAATGATGCTCTATAGAACTGTGAACTGGGGCTTTGAATTTACTGCCACAAACTGGTTTTAAATTAGCATAGCAACATGGATAATTACTTCTCATTTTGTCAAGTGCAAGTTAGCTTTATATTAGCCTAACACAGTTGTAAGGATAATTAATAAGAAAAAATTATTTATGTATTAATAATTTTTAATAATAATTATTAATCTATTACCTTGCTATTTCTTGGAGGCGGGGAATGAAAGAAAGATTGTCAAATTCCTATGGGCTAGGCTGCTGTATGATTACCACATATTCAAAAAATACTCCCACAGTTTAACAGCAGAAGATGCTCTAGAATTTCAGTTACATTACCAGCTACACAGACTCAGGATCTCCCCATCGGGTCTTAGCACAGAAAAGTGGGAGTTTTGCTCTGCCATAGGCACATCATTACTTTGATGATTCTCAAACACGGCCTCCTCACAACATATCAGGTGAAGTACCAGGATGTGAGCAAAATGTCAAAAGGTATGCAATTAGCACCTTGATTCTCCTTCACCTGACTTGATTCCGACACAATGCAAAGTTAGTAATGGGCTAGGTGGGAGACATTTAAGTTCGAAAAAGAAAACTAGTTCTCCTCCCTGTTTGCTCCAGGTTTTTTTCCATTAATAGAAGGAAATTAGAGGGAGTGTCATTGGGACATTCTGAGGCTCAATTAATTGCCTGCTGTATTTGCCTGAGGAGCATAATGTTTTACATTATTTTCAATTGCCTTTTGAGAAACTCAACAATGAGCTGAGCTGGTTGGTGGCATCAAAATGAGGGAGTTTTCTGGAAGAGCTTTTAGCATATAAGCAGCTATCTGTGCCATCAATAAAGGAGCTGGCTTAGTCAGTGTAGCTGAATTCCTTCAGAAGGAATAACATCATTAAGAAATTCTGAAAGAGCTTCTAATTTAATACGTGTGGTTACTGTTTTTAATTATTATTTTATCTGCTGTAATATAATATGAAAGTCCTCATTTACAGGTTTTAATTAATTCTGCATTAAATAATGTGAAAATTTTTCAGACACACATACCTTGGGGATGCTGAAAGCAACGGGGAGGCTTTCCTAGAGCAGCTCCGGGCAGCAATGGTTATTGAGCATATCTGTGCTGCCATCTAATGGCCAGCCTCTTCGGGGGTTATTCCTTGTGAGTGATTTACAGGCAGTTTGCATTTGTGTTCACAGAGATCAAGGTAACAAAACCAATGCACAGGTAACCTCCTGCGCCTCCCACAGACCAGGCAGAGATCAAGAGGTGAAGCCGTCAGTGGC